TGAGCTATATGGTCAAGAATAAACACAGCAATGGTCCCACTTCTCTGGTACCAGTTTTCCATATCAGTCACTTTCCTATCTCTGAGACAAAATGCCTGATACCCACAAACTTAAAGAAGAGAGGTTTATTTTGATTCATGGTTTCAGAGTGTTCAGCCCATTGTTAGCTAGCTCCATGACAGAAATGGAATGGTGCAAGGGTATGGCAGAAGAAAGCTGCTCAACCCATAGCAGCTAGAAAATAGGAAGCAAAAGAAAGAGCCAGAGCCAGACAAATACCCTCCAAAGACATGCCCCTAGCTGACTACTTACTCCACTGGTCCTCATCTCCTAACAGCAAATTCAACTAGGAACTCATCAGTGAACTAATCCACTGATAAGCATAATGCTCCCATGACTCCATCACCTTCTGAAAGCCCTGCCTCCAAATACGTGACACATTTGGAAGTCATTTTAGATTTAAACCATAACACTACTGTAGGATTCTGGTTTTATAATTGAGAGAGGAGAACACCCCTTCATATGGAATTGGGCAACTATGAGTTAACAGTGTTCTTAGGCAACTATGGGTTAAAAACGTAACTATGCTCTTTGTAGAATGTACTGGAGTAGCAATGACAACTTCTGAAATCTCTAACCAAAGGAGTGTAACTGACTCAGAAAATCTCACCAGAACTCTTTATTCTTCCCCCTCTCCACTGCTCTGCTTTGTGGAAATCCTGCTTGCTATATTCCCAGGGAAACTCCAATGGGATTAAGCTTTGTAGATGTAAGAAGAGGTATATAAGGAAGTGCAAACTTCTATTTGGGGCCCTCGAGAATGACAGGAGTCACTTGGTGAGCCACCGGCATCATTAAAAGCTACCTTTTACTCCCATCTTTATGTTAAAGAGTTGTCAGTCCACGGTCCTGTTTCCTGCTTCATGATTAAAAGAAAAAAGCAGACACAACTGATTGTTCCAGTTAGAAGTCAGGAGAGTAGCTACCCTCAAGCAGAATAACTATGTCAGGGGAAGGGACATAGGGTTTTCTGAGGTGCTAGTGATGTGCTTTTCTTGACCTGGATGCTGGCTACATAGATGTAACCAATTTGTGAAAATTATACCATGCTGTAGGCATCTAATGTATTCAGTTTTCTGAATGTTTATTACATTGCCTCAAAAATTTTAAACAAGATGGTTGGGCTAAGTACAGTATCTTTAACATCTTTGCCAGCTTCAGCTGGAATGACAATCACCATAATTCTATCAAACACTAAGCTAAGTGCTTTCCACATAACCTTTCGTGTCCTCTCCATCACCCCTGATGCACACCTTATGGTGAAGAAACTGAGGCAAAAAGACAATAGTAATTTGCCAAAGTCACAGATCCACTGAGGGGTGGAATTGGCTTTTGAACTGGTCTGTGTGGAGGTAGGACTATGTTTTGAGTACTGTGTTCAGTATTCCACAGCCCAAAGAAACCAGAAAGAGTTGGGTGTGGTGCTCAGAAGGAACATACAAGAGCATCTCCCTGACCGTGTTTCCCTTTGTTACCTTTGGAGTTTTCCTCTAGCTCTGAGGCACTTTCTGATTTTCTTTTTTTTTTTCTGGTACCAGGGATCGAACTCAGGATCTTGCACTTTTGAGGTCAGCATGGTGCCATTGAGCTAAATCCCCAGCCCCACTTTCTGTTTTTCTTTCCCTGAATCTATCTAATTATGAAATTATGTTTTTAAATGTATATGGCATTTGTTGAACAATTTATAATTTTCCCTACTCCTGATTTTAAACAGTAGTTAAATCAGTTCTGAAGAGTTATTTCTAAAATGACAAACACACTGAATTAATCTGTGCCGATAGAATGGATTGAGATTCTCTTAGTGGAAGAAATGTTCTCCACTCAGTCCCTTAAATAAGACACCCTGATTACATGGCTTCAAGTGGGAATCAAAAATTGTTACTTCTTGGGCCCAGGATTTAGCTCAGTGGTTCTGCCACCTGCCCCGCAAGCGCAAAGACCCAAGTTCAATCCCCAGTACCAAAAAAAAATTTTTTACTTCTAACTGGGCATGGTGGCTAACACTTGTGTCTTAGTTACTTTTCTCTCATTGCTGAGACAAAATACCCGACACCCAAAGTTAAAGGGGGAAAGGTTTATTTAGTGCAGTTTGTAGCAGTTTCAATCCATAATCTACTGGTTCCAAGGCAGGTGCAGAGGAGAAACAATTCATGGTGAGGAGAAGATAGCAAAGCAAGCAAGGGACCTTAATAGCATCTTTCTGCCCCTTTTTTTAGCTTTTTTTTTTCTTGCAGAACCAGGGATTGAACTCAGGACCTTGTGCTTGTAAGACAGGCATGACACCACTGAGCTAAATCTCCAGCCCTCTGCCCCTTTTATATTGTATCTAGGCTACTGGGAGTAGGGCGTTGCCAAAGCAATCAGTGGACTGATTTAGTAATCATACATCCTTAATCCCAGCATCACACACTCCAGATCCAGCCATCTTTGAAAAAGCCTCACCCACCCTATGACTATATGAAGCTTTGGGGGGATATCTAGACATTGCCCCTGCCTCCCGAAGACTCATGCACATCTCTTTAAGCAAAAGGCATTTAGTCCATCTGCAAGAGTTGCCAAATTCCTAACAGTTTTGGCATTGCTGAAAAGTCCAAGTCCAAAGTCTTCTCTGAGATTTAAGGCAAACTCTTAGCTGCAAGCCCCTGTATAAATGAAAAGAAAATTAAACACTTCCAACATTCAATGGCACAAGGTAGACATTACCATTCCAAAAAGATATAAATAAGGAAATACAAAGGAATGGGACCAAAGCAATTCCAAAATCCAGTACGGCAAACATTAAGTCCTATAGTTCCATGTGCAACAGCATCCAAGGCAATCTATGGTAAGATGTGAACTTCAAAGGGCTTTGATGGCTCTGCCCCTACAGCACTGTTGGTGGTTGCAGCTCCCACAGCCTGTCTCTTGGGCCACTTCTGCTTCTGCCTTGCAGCTTTCCTCAGACGATCCACATTCCTGGCTTCTCCAAACTTCCGGGATCTCCACCACACCTTCAGCTTCACACTCAGAGCTTCACACACTGCCCTCTTGGGGAAATCTGGGTGGAAGCCTTCCTGATCCTACGACTCTTCCATTCTACATGCACCTAAAACCAGCATCAGATGGATGATGCCAAGGTCTGCCACCAGCTGGAGCAGTAGCCAAGCATCCTTCTGTCTTGGCTGTATAGGTCAAGGACCTATGAACCAAATCTTGAGGAACAACTTCCCTAGGCTGTCATCATTCTGGAACATAGTACTTTGGGGCTCTCTTCACAAAGCAAAGTCTTTCACTTTTGCAATTGTGAGGCTGCAAAGGCTGGAGTCCGGTTGGTTCTTGTGTTGTCCTCAGGCATCTTTTCCATTGTCTTCTTCTGAAATACTTAACTTTTTCTTGCTAGTCTTTTCAGTGATGAATTTATCCTCTGTTCTATCTTTGCAGGTTGCAACTTTACTGGAAGTTCCTTTCTGGCCAAATTCAAAATGTTTTGAATCATTCTCCTGAGCTCTTTGCTTTTGATTCTCAACATAAATCTGGCTAAAAGACCCCAACAGTAGCCATGTCATTGCCTCAACATTAAACACACTGCCTTGAAATTTCTTCTGCAAGATTAATTAGTCTGCTACCCTTAATTTTGGTCTCAGGCAAAGCCTCTGGACATGAGCAAAATGCAGACAAACTTTCTACCAAGCCATAATACACACTGTCTGGAGTTCAATAGCAGAAACCCAGCAGAAACCTCCTAAGCCTTGTCTTTACCAGCATCGTTTCTGTTAGTATTCTGGTCTTCTGAGCTCTGACCAGACTCTCCTATCAAGTAAGGCCTGAGGTGTTTCAGCTCTGCTTTTACAGCTAGCACCTGCAAACCTAACTCTTCCCCTTCCCACAAGTCAGCTCCAAAGGCTCCTTCCTAAACCACATGCTCAAGTACAGTCACACCAATGATCCCACTTCTCTGGTACCAAATTCTCTCTTAGTTACTTTTCTCTCATCGCTGAGGCAAAATACCCAACACCCAAAGTTAAAGGAGGAAAGTTTTATTTAGCTCACAGTTTGTAGAGATTTCAGCCCATAATCCACTGGCTTCAAGGTAGGGTGGGATGGCAGACAGGCATTGCAGAGGAGAAACAATTCATGGCGGGCAGAAGATACCAAAAGCAACAAGGAAGCTTAACAGTGTCTTTCTGGTCCTTTTATATTGTATCTAGGCTACCAGAATTATGGTAGTACCAAAGCAATCAGTGGACTGATTTAGTAATCACACACCCTTCATCCCAGCAGCAAATACTCTAGATCCAGCCACCTCTGAAAAAGTCCCATCTATGACTGTGTGAGGTTTTGGGGGAACATTTAGACACCAGCCATAACAACCTGTAATTTCAGCACTCTAAAAGGCAGAGGCAGAAGAATCACAAGTTTCAAGTCCAGCCGGGGCAGTATAGTGACGTAGCAAGATCCTGTCTCAAAATTTTTTTAAAAAGGACTGGGGATGTAGCACAGTACAGAGGTCCAGAACCATCCCCATCCCCAAAACAATTGATCCTTTAAGGTCAGAAAGATATAACCAGTAGATGGTTCATTCCTGAAAAGTTATCTGTCCACCAGGCTCTTGTTGGAGTATTAAGAATTTATAAAGTAAAGCTAGGACATTAACATCCTAGAAATCTGATAGGTAGGTATTGATTTAATTAGTAGTTACTAATTAAAATTTTGTGTAGATGATTTATTTTTGCTGGGGAAAATGGCCCTAAATGTGTGTCTGTACAAACTGCCCTCAAATATAACCACTCCATTTATCTAGTGTGAGTCTGAAAGGATAAAGAAAGTAGTATTAGGGTAGAAATAGTATCAGTTGATGGGGGGAGGGAGATACACAAATATGTGCTCTGATAATTTTAAAATTAAAAGATTTGCTAATAGAGAACTTGGAATGATTAAACAAGAAATCATTACAAATGGAATTTATTAGGCCAGCACATCGATAGAATGAGTCTAAGGATTTGGTTGGAAAGCCATTGGGCCTTCTAAAGCAGCAGAAGTCCAAGGTCACACACTTCACACATCACTCTGTGACAATTTGTGGAAGGAATAAGGGTCAGGAATTACAGCACCTAGATAGTTTGCACACAGATATGCCTCCTGCCTCCCTCTCTACTCCTTTTCTTCAACCTAAGTCTGTAAGTCTGATACCTGAGAGGACTGGAATGAAATATCTCCCACTTAGTACAGAACTTTGACCCTTTGGTCACAGATCTGGCCTTTGTGCACTTAAATTTCTTATTATACACAAGGAATGTGGCTTTTGAGAAATCAACAAATAGTTATTGGAGTTTTTACCAACATGTAAGATGAATAAAATTATATTCTCTATTACAATAATTGCATCTTCAATCTCATCTGGCACCAGCTGTCTTTTAGAAAGTTATAATGCATTGTTTGGGAATATTCTTTGGGCAGAAAAGAGTCTAATTAGCAAATAGTATATAATTAAGCAATACATTTTCAAGCCTTATGAGTCACAAGAATATAAAGTCTTTAAGTTGTGAGAAAGGGGACATTTTCTATCATTCCTGATAATTAGAGAGCTAGGTATTTCAAGATCATAATAATATAATGTGTTCAAAGTTTGCTTTTACTTTGAAGCTATAACCTCTTAAGTTTAGTGATTATTATCTGGGCTACCAAGAAAGAGCAAGGAATATAGTATCCATATAGATATTAGCTGGCCTGAAATAATCAGATAAAAATAAGAATTAAAGAAATATGATGTGGAGTTGCAGTTGTTCAGATTTCTGACCATTTTACACAGGAAACTAATAGAAGGATAGTCTGGACAAAACTGTCAAGGTAATTTTATAGAAGAACTAATTTTTAGGGGAGACAGTTAAAGCAGCAGGTAGATGCCTGTATTTTGGCCTCCATGGTAGCTCTTTATTCTTAATATTTCTTTCCTATCCCTTTATAAACTTTTGCTTGTTCATCATAGAGAATCTGTTTGGAACAAGAATTGCTTTCAACTCAGAATCTCAGATGAAGACCCAACCATGTTAAATTTGTGCTTTTTAAAAAGAGTCCAGTGCCTGACTGGAGGCAGTGTGTCATGGTGGAGCTCACTCTCCCCCCAGAGTCCAGGACTTGCTGGGACAGACACGTTAGCCAGGACTGAAGTTGGTATCAAGTACTGCACATCAAAACAAGCAGCCTCCTGCACAGACTTTACGGCATCAACTGGTCCATCACTTCTGCCATTATCATTTTTATGCATTTTGGGGCCATCACTGGGGTTTGTCCAAATTGGTCTCAAAACCTGCAATGCAACATAGCTGTGTCTTCTTTAACACAAGTCTAGCCACAATGCTGAGAGAGACCTTTCCTAGCACAAACCCATGGCCTGCTCAGAAAAATAAGGTGCCACTCTATCATGATAACCTGTGCAGCCTGTAAACCACAATATTGTGCTCACGTCCAAATTTTAAATGAAGATCTAGAGATGTTGAGTTTTGTGTAATTTAAAGATAGTCTCTTTCACAGCGGCAAGAGCACCATGGGCCCAGCTCTCTCCAACTTTCTTCAGGATTTGGAAGGAGCCTCTAGGTTTGAGCCAATAATCAAGTACCAAGGGAAAACAGCTCAGAGAAAGGACAAGTTCCTCATCTCTGAGTAGATTGGAATCCTTGAAGATTCTAGCCTAGGTGCGAGCAGCTGCTGCACAGGGCGCCTTGGCACTCTCGTGTCTCTCTCCTAACACTTTTGTTACCTCGGCCTGGAATGCCCTGACCCTTAAAAAAAGAGTCCTTGAACTGAATTGAACCTGACGGAAGTGAAAAGCCAGATCTGAAAACAGGAAGACTTTAGGTCAGCAGCCTCCGACTCTAGACACTGCCTAGTTCCCTCTGCCGCCCGTGTGGACTCAGTAGGTCGGCGTGGCGAGGAGAGGCGCGGCCCGGTGAGGCGCAGCCCGGAGTCGCCAGGCGGCTTCTGCCCGCCCTCTGGTGGTGTCTCCCAGAGGCTGGAAGGGAAGGGCCAGGCAGACACCCGCGCGCCAGGAGGGGGCGGTTGGTGCGGGTCAGGCCCATCTGTGAAGGAAGGGGCCTCATGCGAAGCCAATCACTAGTGAATCCCGTCGAAGAGGGATCCTGGAGGACCCCGGGTTCATAGGTGCGGGGTGTAAAAGGGGGTCAAGTAGGAGGGCCCGAGGAAGGGCGCAAAGGGGTTCCCGGCGGCGGCTGTTAGCGAGAAGGATGCAGCGGCCGGGAAGAGGACGTTGGCCGCGGAGTAGGAGGGAAAAGTCTGGAAGGGCAGAGCTCCGGGGCCGGGCGGGCCGGGACTGCCTCCCGTGCCACCGCCGCAGGTCCCAGCCGCCGCGCCGAGTGTCCCAGGCTGTGGCGCGCCTCCTTCCGCCTGCGCCGCGCCGTCGGCTCCCGGGTTCTGCTTCTTCCACTTGGTTCGGCGGTTCTGGAACCAGATTTTAACCTGAGTCTCGGTGAGGCTGAGGGACAGCGCTAGGTTCAGGCGCTCGCATACCGATAGGTAGCGGGTGGCCCGAAACTTGTTCTCCAAGGCTACCAGCTGCTCGTAGGTGAAGGCAGTGCGCGCGCGCCGGGGTTTGGCGCAGCTGGGCTCTGCGCGCCGGCGCCGGGGCCGCGGGGAGCCGGGCGAGCCTGGGGAGCCCGAGAGTCCGCCCTCGCCGTCCGCGCTGCACTCGGCAGCCGCCAGTGTGGCCACCCGGGCCTCGGGAGAGCCCGCCCGACCCGTCTGTAGGTGCGCAGCCCGCTCCCGCCGCGGTGCTCGCCCTGCGTCATCCGCGTCCTCTTCATCCTCTTCGGCCTCGGAGCCCTCCAGGGGGGACGCCGGGCCGGCGCCGGGGCCTGCAGCATCTAGGGGAGAAAGGGCCAGTGACCAGGAGCCCGGAAAGACCCGGATCTCCAAAGCTTCCCCTTGTCCTCCGCAGAGGACATAGTTCTCACTCCAACCCGTCCCTCATTCAGTCTGTTCCCACATCGCACTCCTTCCACCTCTGGACCGCACAGCCTCACAAGACGAAAAGTTTGGAATATGGCATCCCCTTGCCCTTTACAAATCTGCCACCTAGGAGGTGTTTAAGAAGAGTATGTTGAATGAATAAAGGAATGGTACCTCACATCAAGCATCAAGAGAGAGTAGTGGCCTAACTGTGCAACTTTGGGTGAGGGTCGTTGTACATTAATACATTGAGACTTCAAGTGGATTTAGTGGTGTGTCTCCCCAGTCGCTAGAAGAGTGTTTTGGTGTGGGACTCCTACCAATTATAAAAGAAGTTATTAAGCCCCCTCCCCTTAAAGTGAAATTCCCCCTTTCCCATCTTCTCTCTCCTGCCGTGTTAATAGAGTTTCAGATTTGCGCGGGGCTGGATCGATAGATGTCATCTATTAAAGGTAAGTTTTAATCGAACAATATTAGGATCAGACAGGCAAAGGGGGTTTGAAGTCGGTACCTGCAAGCTGCGGGCAGGAGATATGCAGGCGCCAGTAATAGAATATCGATCATGGGGGGGGGGTGAAGAGAGAGGAGGGAGGCCCCTCTGAGAGAAGATCGGAACAATTACCAGGCCCGCGGCAGGGGCCCAAGCGTGGCCTCCAGAGGCGCCCCAGCCCAGACAATCACCTCCAACCCGGGGAGGAGCAGAGGGTGACACAGCAGCCAGCCTCACTCGGGACCTCAGGTCCTGACCGTCGGTGTCCCTCCAGGCAGTCTCGTGCCCATGTCCCACCTGGCACGATTCCTGCTGTCTTTCATCCTTTTTCCAGCTACAAAGTTTCCTGGACCCTTCCTTAGTTGTCCTCCAGCATTAAGGGTAAATTTAAAAGGATTTTGAGGAGAAAAAACAGTGCCAACAGTATCCCCTCACACCAGCCCGGACCCTATCCCCAGTCCAGAGTTGTGTCTAGGCAGAAAAGTCCAAGGGGCAGCAAAGTCGTGCAGGTGTCTCCAAGTGGTTGGAAACAGGCACCTGACCTGGTCACTCACTAAGATTCCGGGCGTAGACCTTGGCCTGAACTCCTTCATCCATACAGTGGGAGTGATGTTAATGATGCTGTCTACTTACAAGGTTTCAAGTTTTCTTTACTTTTATCCCACCTCGGAGCCCAGGTTCTAGTAGATGGTGAGCGCATCACATGCCTGCTAAATAAGTGTGCCTGCAAGGTGGGAGGTGGGTGTTCGTTTCCACTGCCACGGAGACAGCATGTCAGAACTGTGGTGCAAGCGGGTGTACAGGGAAGAGGCTTCTGTGACAAATCCCAGCCCCGGAATCCTGGGAGCCTCTTTTCTACCTCAATTCTATTCCGAGGAGACGGCTACACATTGCAACGGCTCCAGTGCGCCTTCCCTCTTGGCAAAGATGCCGCTAAGGGCCATTCACCAGGCCCTGGCTCTATGCGTCACCTGGGCTGGGGCCGCCTCCCATTCTTACCAGGGCTCTCCTGCAGCCGGACTGGGTCTCCAGGGCTGACTTCCTTCCCTGCTTCGACCTCCGCCAAACTTTTCTTGGCTTCCCGGGGAGCGAGGCGGACGGCCGGGAGTGCAGCGCGGGTGAATTTTTGTGGATCCAGGATGTCCAGGACCGAGAAGGATATCTTGTGGTGGGAGGGAGCCGCCTTGGCCCCGCCGTCCTGCCATGCCAACATGCCCGCCTCCCGCTTACCCGAGGCCGGCGGCGAGGGGTCCGGGATGGCGGCGCTTGGGCTCGTCTTCAGCTGTGCCTTGGCCGCAGGTCTCTATGCGCGAACCGGTTCGCGCAACCAAGTGAAGGTGGGGAGGGGGCGGAGAGGCGGGGCGGGCAGAGAGCCGCTGGGGTCTGCGCGCCAATTGGCACTTGCTGGGCCCAGGCCCCCGCCCCGCGCAGGCCGCGCTGAGCAGCCTCAGGACTATTCCGCTCCACGCCGGGCCACTGGCCTGGACTAGGGGAGCATCCACGCTCTAGTGGGCCCGCCCGGCCTGCGGGGACAGAGCAGCAGGCTCCTCGAGCCTCCGCCCAACCCTCCGAAACTCTGGAAACGCACAAGGGAGTATTCCATCTTGCGGATCCCCACTACCTACCCCTACCCCTCTGGTTTGAGTTTGCACTCTCCTTGGTGCACCTGCCTTTGACTTGGCCATTGAAGCCAGGACAGATCTCTTCAAAGCCATGCTCAGCACATCTCCTGCCCCAGTCGTGAACAGTAATAGCTGCAGACTCATTTACCTTTGATTTAAAAGCTCTCGTTCTCAGTTTACAGTTTACAAAGCCCTTGGGCTTTCTCTATCTTTCCAGTCCCTGAACATCACTGGGAAGTGGGCGTGGCCTGGCCTAGACTTTCATCGAGGTTTTGTTGTTGTTGTTGTTGTTTGTACCGGGGATCAAACTTGGGTCTTTGTGCTTGCGAGGCAAGCAGCGGAACCACTGAGCTAAATAACCGGCCCCTTCATCGAGGTTTTAAAGATGAGGAAATTAAGGTTCAAAGATGATCTGCCCAGGGTTACTGTTAGTTGGTGACAGTGTGGGTCAAACTAGTGCTTTTTAAATTTCTCTCTCTCTCTCTCTCTTTCTTTCTTTCCTTTCTTTCTTTTTTTCTTCTTCAATATATCCTGCCATCTTGAAACAAGGGAGGAAAATCCTGCACCGTATCAGTCTTCTACCTACTCCAGAGCCTAGCAAGGCTAAAGAGTGGGAAGGGTTTTGGAGAGGTGACAGCACTCACCGGCCTGGCTGTGGGCTCACGGCCAGGGGAGATAGCTGTGATAGTTTGCTGTGACCCTCAACAGAACCATCAGTGCTGGTCAGGTCTTTACAGTTACAGATTTGGTCATCTGCATCAGCAATTGGGTCTCTGAAAATAGGCTGTTTCTCTGACCCCCATTCTCTCCCACTCCCAAGAAGAAAAAGTTAAAAGACACCCGTTAGTGTAAGATCAGAGAAGAGTGACAGTTGAAATGGCCCCCAACTGCTTCCCAGTTCCCCTGGATTGTAGCCCGCATGGGCAATTGGAGAGGCTTTCACCAGCCACACCCATGCAAACATTCCTTCTATTGTCACTTGGAGTCTGTGAGCACTAAGCATTTATTTCAGGGGCAAATTCTGAGGCTTCCCCAGCCTCTCCGCCCAGCACCACCTCCAACTCTGTTGCTCCTTTCTTCTCCGCCCCATGTGGTTTCCAAACAATGACTTGGCAATTAATATTGTCTGAGCAGGTACGAAATAGGAAGAGGAGGAGAACCCTTCTCATTAAAGTGTTGGGAGCTGCTAATCCCATCTGTTATTGAAGAAGTAGCCTCAGAGGACAGCTCCTTGTAGCTTTTCTCATTCAAACCTTTCAGCCCCTCCCAGAGGTGGCCACCAAATTCCCTGTGGACTTTAAAGCCCTGCCGAAATTCAAGCCAGCTCTAGACCTAAAGTGAAGATGGATTGTGCTTTTTAAAGCTCAGGAAAGGAAGTGCCCTGCCCAAGCCCACCGGACCACCTCCTGCTAAAGGGAATGCATACCCTATGAAACCCAGGGAAAATACAGCTCGCTCTAGAACTAAAAGGCAGTACCCAGAAATGGGGATTGTAGAATCACAGAACTTTCCTGAATACAGATAGGGGGAGTTGTTTTCTGTTTGCACAACTCTTTCTCACATAGTTCTCACTTGATTTTTTTGAAAATCTTTCTCTCCCATTCTCCTACTGACTCTCGCCTCTACCTTTTTCCTCCTGTGTTTCTGGGGTTTTTTAGGCTTATATTCTTCAGAGTAGCTAGGAATAGATCTCTGTGAGATCACTCAGGGATGGAAATACTATCCTAGGCTGCATCGTCTGGAAGAAACATTGAGACTATTTCACAGGATTGAGGGGTCTGGCTTTCCAGCGGGCACTCATACACCAAACCAGAGGGACAGGGGAGGCCCCTCAGACTAAGAAGAACAGCCCAAACTGAGATATTTTACTGTACTTTATAAATTGCCTCAAAAGTTTGTGTTTAAACTATATGATGTTTTCCTCTGGTATAAATCAGCCTTCCTTTGAGGTTCACAGATGTTAAATATAGGAAATGAGCAAAAAAGGGAAAAGCAAAAAATTGGACTAAAAGTCATGAACATATAGAGGCTGTACTGTATTCTTTAACCATGTGAATCTTTAAGAATGCCTTCTAATGATTTTTTTTTTTTTTTTTTGGTACTGGGGATTAAACTCAGGACCTTGCGCTTATAAGGCAGATGGCGGAACCACTGAGCTAAATCCAGGGCCCCCCTTCTAATGATTTTTAATTCCTTCTTGCCCTTCATTTTTCCAGCATTTCTTATATGTGTGCTCAGTACAGTGAAAGGCTATGTCAGTTCTTAGGTTTAGAACTTGGCTTCTGACAATAGGTAACACACACAAACAAACCCCTTGTATGGCTTATAAATGTTAGAGAACTAGAAATGCTCTCTTTAATTCACCCAATGTAGAAACCCCCATCAGAAGAACAGGATCCATTCTTCAGATTAGGGGAAGGTGGAGACCAAAAGCCTGAAGGAATTCTTTTGGCCACCTGCTTTGTAATGGCTGGAAAGTAGTAAGATCAACCTTCCAGAACAATCTGGAAATACATTTGACTCACTAACATCTTTGCACATATATTTAGACCAGGGTATTCCTATATAATACATATACTCACACCCAGGAAGCCACCTTCCTTCTGTGTCTCTAGTTGATTTTTTTTTTCTTTCAGCTTGGGCATTAAAATTCTGCCTGAGTGCTGTCTTTAAATTGCTTTGATGCTAGGTGGGTTCTAACCCTGACCTGTCCTGATGGCAAGTGATCACTGTAACAAGCTCGGGATCAATATTCATAGCGGGTGTCCTGGGCTGATAACACTATCCAAGACAATGTTCACTATCTGGGCAGACAGCTGAGATATTGTGCCATTAGGGATGTTGTGTTAAATAACCTGATCCATTTCTGGGGCTATTTAATGAATTTCCCAGTTTAGATAGTATCTTTAAGGTGAAAGCAAAGGCTATTTCAGAGGCACTGATGCAAATCAATGGTGCCAAGCTTCCCAAGCTATCACACAAACAAAATGGCCTATAATTCCAGCACGGCCTTGAGGACCTGCTGCCTGAGCCATGAGGAGTGTTAAACAATGGAAAGAATGTGCAATTTATGCAGAGGAAGGGAGAGCAATATTATGAGCTGTGTTAAAGCATCTTAGATAAGATCTTATGTCCTGAAATAAAACAACTGAAATTCTCTAGGTAAAACCCCTCTGTTTGAGCTCGCCCATGGAGTAGGACATATGTGCCAAAGAGACAGCTTCATAAGGCAGACCTTGGTGACAAATCCTGGTACGTGGGGACAGCCTCGAGGGCAGCCCCCCTCACTCAGGGGCTCAGCCACCTTTCCCCAAGATGTGCTTTTTCAACCCAAATTGGTCTATGGAATAGGAGGGGGAAGGCACAGGATTTTAAAAGGAAACTACTGATAGTGGAATCAGTTGTTTCTTTACTTAACTCTAGGTCCTCAATGCTGGAGCTTTCATTTACAATTAAAAGCTACCATTTACCATTTCTGACCAGAGCTTTGAACTCTGGCTGTTTAAATATTCCTTAAAAAACAAAAAAGGACACTTTTGATTTGTGAAAGCAGACTTCAAAGTGTAGACTTCCCACTTGACCTCAAATTGTGGACACACACACTAAAAATGTTTTTTTATTTCTTGCTTCCCCCTGCCTCACCCAATACTGAGGACTGAATTCAGGGAGCACTGATCTACATCACCAGCCTTTTTTTGTTTTTGTTGGTTGTTGTTTTGGGGATTTTTGGGGGGGGGGGATTACCAGGGATCGAACTCGGGACCTTGGGCTTGTGAGGCAGGTGGCAGAACCACTGAGCTAAATCCCCAGCCCCTGTTTGAGTTTTTGAGACAGGATCTCAAACACTATGTAGTTCAGGCTGGCCTTGAATTCACTATGCAGCCCAGACTGGCCTCAACTCTCAGCAATCCTCTTGCCTTACCCTCCCTAGTGCTTGGATCACAGGCCTGCACCACCACTCCCAGCTCACCAACCCTTTAAAAGAATATAAATTTAGGAATAAATAAATAAAATTTTTTAATTTGGAGACAGCATCTTGCTACATTGCCCTGGCTGGCCTTGAACTTGGAGTCCCCTTGCCTCAGTCTCCCAAGAAGCTGGGATTACAGGCATGCATCAGTGCAACAACCTACTGTAAAAATTTTACTCAACATATTTACCTGTTTAAAAAAATCAGTAGGTGTTCTTGAAAATCTTCAGATTAAAAAAAATCAACTTTGGGTTGGGGATTTACCTCAGTGGTTCCAGTGCCTGCCTCACAAGCACAAGGTTCCGAGTTTGATCCCCAGTACCAAAAAAAAATCAACTTTAAGATGGGTATAGTGGCACAGCACTCTGGGTGACTGAGGCAGTAGGATACAAGTTCAAATCTAATCTGTACAACTTAGCAAGACTCTGTCTCAAAATAAAAAGAACTGGGGATGTAGCTTAGTGTGAAGGCCCTTGGTTCAATTCCCAGTACTGCCCAAAATGTCTGCTTTATCTTAAAAATATAGAGAAAGAAGGTGATAAAGGAATAGGAGTTATATCAGTGAACAGAACACATGTTAAGTCATCTTGATAGTATTAACAATAATAGCTGCTCTTTCTTATCCACTTGCTCTGGGCCAGACATCAGACTAACTTTTTGCATGTTATTTTATGAACAGTCAAAACAAGCCCTATTATCCCCAATTTACAGT